CCACTCAATTTCGATGTGTTAGATTGGTGGTCAAGAATGGAAGGAATTTTTCCTATTTCATGCATTATGGCCAAGGAGATCTTTGCTGTCCCAGCATCTACAGTCGCGGTTGAGCAAGCATTCAGTGAGGGCGGCTACATGCTAGATCCACGACGGTCGAGGATGACGCCTGATAATCTTCAAGCATAAATGTTACTGAGTGATTGGAAGAAGGCCGAACGAAGGATGCAAACTGCTATGCTCACTTCGAATGAGGAGGATGACGACAACGACGATGCATCCGATTTTACGTCGTCGACAAGTGGAACTGGGGGGGACGTCGAAGACGAATACGAGTATTAAAGGTATGCAGCCAAGGTATGTGATTTAGAAGAACTACGTGGACTTTGATTCCCAAATAAAGGGATACGTAGGCATCTTATTTAACATTATTAAGTTCGAGTATAATTTTTTGGCATCAAAATTTTTCATCGTACACGATATTCGAACTTAATAACTGTTAACTAAGCTCAAGTCCATTCCATTAATAATTTTTTTCTTTACACTTATTTTTTAAGTATATACAAACTATTTATTCAAATAAACATTAATATACATTAAAATGAAAAAAATGAAAAAAAAAAATTAAAAACCCGTGAACCCGGCGGGCCCGGCCCGAACCCGGCTCAACCCGCCGGGTTTTTGACCCGGCGGGTTAGGGCTGGTTCAGTGAACCGGCCCTTACTTACCAGCGGGCCGGGCCCGGTTCACTATATGCTAACCCGCCGACCCGGCGGGCCGGGCCGGGTTTCGACCCGGCCCGGCAAATGGCCATGTCTATTGGCGGCACTTAGTCGGCGCATAAAAATCAATATTAAATACCTTATATTTTATTTATTTTAACTACCTAAATTTTGTCAACTTAATAATAAATTGACATACCTAAGTCCAAATAATAATATTGATATATTTTAAATAAAGCATGAGAATAAAATAATATAATTACTATTTAAAAAACTAAAAACCTATAAAATTGTCGTCGAGCCCGCCTAGGAGCGCCTAGGTCTGCCTAGGAATCGCCTAATCGTCTGACCGCCGAGCCCGCCAAAAAGCCCCTAGGGATGTCTAGACGGCGCCTAGCCGTCTGACCAATATTTTCTGCTGATTTGTGCAAATTGGGGGCGCCGAGCACTGCCTAGCGCCTAGGCGGCTGCCTAGACCGATTTTTAGAACAATGATCGCAAGTAGTGTTCTAAATATCGCTAGGCGCCCGCTAGGACGGAAACTTGGCGCCGCCTAGAAATCGGTATTAAATACCTTATTTTTTATTTATTTTAACTACCTACGAAATAAAACTATGTCAACTTATAATAAATTGACATACCTAAGTCCAAACAATAATATTAATATATTTTACAGAAAACATGATAACGAAATAATGTAATTACTATTCAAAAAAACTAAGAAACTATCGCCAAGCCTGCCCAGGCGTCGCCTAATCGCTTGATCGTCAAGCCCGCCTGCCCACCCGCCTAGGGACACCTAGCCACTTGGCCAATTTTTTTTTGCCGATTTATGCAAATCAAAAGCGCCCGGGCACTGCCTAGCGCCTAGGCGCCCGCCTAGACCAATTTTTATAACCGTGCTTCCAATCGCACAAGTGACTAGATATTGGGATTTTGTTTCTAAAAAACTTATTACACCAGTATTGAGAATGAAAGTGCAGAAAGAAAATCAAGGAAGAGTGGAACATTTAAAATTGTTGATGAAAGTGCAGAAGAGTGGACAATTTGTAGTTTCGAATATGTGAATAGATTAATATTTATTTTTAATAAAAAAATGGTAAATGGTGATTGATTGTTATTCTTAAATTATGCTAGCAGAGTTGATAGAGAAAAAAAGTACAATATTAATGAATTTTTCGTACATGTTTGTCAAGTATATATATTTGACCGTCAAGTTTCAAGTATATATATTAAGATTCAAGACGACCACGTGAAACGAAAATGAACAAATTTGGGCATATCTATCAGGTATTATTAACCACCTCTCCTGTACATCCCAATTTATACTCAAATCGAACCAAATCTCGAAAAAGCTATAGAGCAAGCTACTAAAAATGGCAAAAATACCCTCAAAACGGGTAGCAATCACAACCCTGAATCCACTAGACTCGGGTGACAGTACAAAAGGAGCAACGACGTTCATCTGGTCCCATTGAGTCCAACACTCGAAAATTACTTGTGGCGCCTGTATATATAGTTTGTTTGCTGGAAATTATGGCATAAAATATGTCAGGATTTTATCCAGAATTTGACTGTTGAACAAAACAGCAATCAATAGTATCGTGACCCTCTTCACTTGTGTTTCATGAGCACAAGGTACAATATGCAGAAAATTAAATGTTTAGTGGACGGCCCTAGTTGACAACAAGAATTCAACAATTTACATGTATAATGTCTACTGATTCGATTTTAAATTTCGAGGGAGCTGAAGGGACATGAAAACTGTACACTGGTTTAGCCGTTAACCACAGCATATTAAAGCCATGTTACATAGTGTTTCTTGAGCTTACAAATCCAGTCTAGATAGGATTACAAGCCCTTGTGATCACCACATAGATTGTTAAAATTGTTCCCCATGTCCCTTTCTATCAGTGCTCAAGTAGTGGTCCTTGATAAAACTTCCAGGTTTTCATTTTTCCTCATTATATCCTTTTAAGCGAGAATAATAGGTGCATTTCTCATTATGGGAAGAACATTGAGCAAAAAGACTTTCGAAAAGGAAGGTGTATCTAATTACTGACACATGGATTCAACAGACGAAAAGGATTCTGACATGTAAATCAAATCAGTAGCGCACACCTTTCATGATGAATTGCTCATGCACCAGGTGCAGCAGGGAGATCGGTTACTTTTCCAACAGCAACAGTTTTTCCTGTCAAATATGAGAAATCATGGAATATCTTAATTAAAAAGGCTGAAAATATCCAGAAGTTATCGACCATCATTATAATGTACATATCACTCTAACCTTCTGTACGAAGAGTAAATCGTCCAAGCTGTGCAAAATCAGAGAACTTCTCAACGCATATCGTATTATTAACCTGGGAAACACAATAAGAGCAAAATCAACGTCAGAGCTCAAGGTATAAATATCATAATTTGCTAGAGAAATCACATATATTAAAATTGCAAGGTTTTAAGGAACATAAAACCAGTAATCTAAAAGCAGAGCAAATGTATCAACAAACAATATGGAGGAAAACTGTGCTCAAGCTGACCTGAACCCGGCAGACAACCAAAGCACCTTTCTTGACAAAAAGAGGTCTCTTTTTCATTGGCTTCTTGGTTTTTGGATCTATCTGCACCATTAGTTCAACAATCTCACATTCCTCTACCACTGCATGGATGTGCAGAACAGCCTTGTAGCCCGCACAGAAAATTGCCTGATATGATGGTATAGTACTATAGTTAATTAAGAGTATCCATCATGAGAACGGATCATATATGAGCTGTCTAAAACATAAATATAAAAACAATTTCAAAGGTTAAACAAAACCAGAACCAAATAAAATTTAACAACATACATTGTCAAGCAGCTCCAGAATCTGAAGGTGTGCAACAAACTCGGAAACAGCCGGTATTGGATTTGCTGCAGAAAAGAAAGATAAAATTTCCATTGGAACTGTCTTCAGTAGGAAACAATATCTGGTGAAACATTATTTCTAAATATTTCAAATCCACACAAAGATTAAACATCAAACGAGATGCAGAACCCATGAAAGGAGTTAGTTCAAATTCACATATATTAGTTATATTAGTAAATAACTTCATTCATGAGCCAACAATTATAGAATCTCCATAACAGTAAGGCACAGAGGGAACCAGAATATCATATACATGAACTTCAAAGCACCTTATAGTTCCAAAATTGATGCACTACCCCTTAAAATGCCACTAAATCATACAGCAATATGCCACGACTTCAGTACAATACTACTATTTTTCACTCAAGCTATGGTCTGTACCACATCATATCACGCTAATCCAATCAGTTAAGGAACTACCATGAAGCTCACATTATGCACGCCATATAACTGATTCCTACAGAAGGAAACCTAACTACCACACTTCCTTTTACATGCTGTCCTTCAGTAAAACCGAAAATGCAGCATTCACCTCACAAATTTAAGAACAAGAAAATTAAAATTTTGTTTCAATAGGCTTCTCCCACTGGCGGTAAGTTGTTGCTAACAAACTTCCACAGGCTAATTAACATAAGGATGCTGCATAAAATCAAGGAGAAACACACATGGCACAGTTTTAATTTATTCTTTAAAATAATAATAATAAAAAAAAAAAGTCCACCCATAAGAACCTACCAACACTAGAAAGAACAAAACCCGCTACAATATCCTCTTCCTCAATTCCAGATACCCTGACTCGCAAGTTTTCACCAGGTCCTGCACGCCTTACTTTGTCTTCATCACAGAAGATAGCTAGGACTTTCACTGGAACCTGAAAAACAGCCAATTGATCACAATATAAGTATGTTCTTTCTACATACAGAATCTATAAACCTCTGTATTATATGACTGAGGATTACAACAGTTACCTTATTAGGCATTATCATCAAGTTATCACCTTCACGAACACTTCCAGATTCTATTTTGCCCATAACAACTGTTCCCATGTCCTTGAATTTATCTATTATAGGCATTCTAACATAAAGAAAAAGAAAAAAGAAAGAAAAGTAGTTCAATTAGTCCGCAGTAGTCCATGATTGATTGAGCGCTAACCTTAAAAGTAAACAAAAGCTAAAAGTTAGTTGAACAGTAAATCTTACAGATTGATAAGTGCTTAAGATAAGTATGCCCCTCCAAATAACATGGAAAAGAGCAGATCCCTTTTAGTTTTTCTTAACATCATTTATGAAAGAGAACACTAGAAATAAGTGACATAATGCATTCATATTCTTATTAAATTAACTGCAAGCTAACAAGTTGTGTATCATTATCAACAACAATAGAAAAAGTGACTAGTCAGAGTGTAAGAAACAGCACATGCATGCATATCCTTGGTGTTGAAAATTAGTTGTACAGGTGGACAAAATCGAAAGTCCAATATATTTGTTATGCACAATCAGCAATGTTGACCTCGATAAAAAAAAATCCCTCACAGCAGAGTAACAAAGAATCTACTCTACCTGAATGGCCCTTTTGGATCACGCACTGGAACTTCAATAGCATCAAGAGCTTCAAACAGGCAAGGGCCGTCCCACCATGGACATACACTCTTGCCCATTCTGGTTTTCATATTTGTCCCCATGAGACCAGATATTGGGAGAAACTTTACATCTGAAAATATAGAAACCCCAGAACCAAAAGGAAAAATAAAAAAATAAAAAATAAAACATATCAGAGTTGAGCTCCCTATTACCAAATCCAATGGAAAAAAAAAAAATAAAAAATGCAGCAACGTCTGCAATAAATTCTTTACTTTGTTTAAGATGCACAGAAACTGCATCACTTAGCATCACAGTAGACAATAATTCAACATCTTGAATGTTCATAAAATAGGAGTATTGAAAAAATTTCTTCCAATTCAAACATAATCAAAGAGGAATGATCAAAACATACACACGAGGATCAGTAAATAAGCAGAATTACCAAGTATTCCAATGACAACATGTGTTGTAAACCAGGATTATGCAGTTCTAATTTCACAAATTCACAGAAGTGTCCTGGCCACATAAAGCTCACAAATGAAAGGATAATGACAACCTCCTGGTCGCTCGCCAGAGATGATCGAAAAAATATTACAAATAAATAAATAAACAACGTATAAGGTTGCCATACTGCTTGTTTAGGATCTGTATAGATTAACATCAATAGCCATGACATCGTAGGGATGTGTGTATGGGTGTGTATAAGCAAAAAAGATAAGTACAGACCTTAAAATTTCATATAGTCATATGGAACCTTCAAAGAATTATACAAGTCAAGTAAATAACAAAAATAGAAAAAAGGAAGAAGTCTAGATGAAGAGATATGCAAGTTAAAACTCCATAAAAGATGTTAAAAAAGAAATTACCTTTTTTCACATTATAGCCCGAAGACTTCAGAAACAGAGACATTTTGGACTCAATATCATCATATCTGCAATGGTATACTATAATAATGAGTAAATGAAGATCCAATCTAGAATGTCAACATATCATTACGTCATAAGGCACCTTTCTTTTGACCATTTAACAGTAGGCTCATCCATCTTGTTCACAACAACTAGCAGCTTAGAGACTCCCAAAGTCTTTGCCAGCTGCACATGTTCGCGTGTCTGTCCACCTCTCTCGTACCCAGTTTCAAATTCTCCCTTCCGAGCAGAAATAACCTGTGAACAATATTAGGGAATGAATATGTTATATGAATGGCAATGGATGATCAGATAATTCACTTTGCCTAAGACGTTGAAATGATACTTACTAACACACCAATATCTGCTTGTGATGCGCCACTGATCATGTTAGGTACATAACTTTTGTGACCCTGAAAAGCCCCAATTCCAATAACTAATAAGTTCAAAATTAAGAAGAAATAGATTCGTTGAACAAAACAAACTGACCATCTCGTTCAGTGAACGCATCATGTATGATTCCACAAAGCGAGTAGGCAAAAATAGATAATATTGACTGAACTATATGGTCACAATTCAGTATTGTGAAATTACTCTTCAAGCGAGATCCATTTTACTCATTAAGGTAAATCCATAATTTGTATGGGAACAAGGCGGGGTAACTGATAGGTATGCTTTAGACCTAACAAAATAAATGGTTAGAAATTCTACAATCAACTCACGCACCCCCCCCCCCC